CCGAGGCAGGTGGATCACGAAGTCAGAAATTCAAGACCAGCCTGATCAACATGGCGAAACCCCGTCTCTACTACAAATACAAAAATTAGCTGGACACGGTGGTGGGTGCCTGTAATCCCAGCTACTCAGGAGGTTGAGGCAGGAGAATCTCTTGAACCCAGGAGGCAGAGGTTGCAGTGAGCCAAGATTGTGCCACTGCACTCCAGCGTGGGTGACAGAGCAAGACTCTGCCTCAAAAACAAACAAAAAACAAAAAAAAGACAACCCATACCATTGGCCAGGTGCAAGGGCTCACGCTTGTAATTCCAGCACTCTGGGAGGCTGGCAGGAGGACTGCTTGAGACCGGGAATTCGAGACCACCCTGGGCAACATGGCAGAACCCCTGTCTCTACAAAAAATTCAAAAATGAGCCGGGTGTGGTGACACACATCTGTACTTCCAGCTACTGGGGAGCTTGAGGCGGGAGGATTGCTTGAGCCTGGGAGGTCGAGCCTGCAGTGAGCAGTGATTGCACCACCGCACTCCAGCCTGGACAGCAGCGTGAGACCCTGTCTCAAAAAAGGAAAACACCCAAACCCCTCCAAGAGCATAGAACTGCCTTTCCTGTTAGATACCTCCACTGCTGTACATATTGCTCAGTTGTGACGAAACGTCCCTCATGTTCCGTTTTGGATTCCCTGAGGTGCAGCCTATGGTGTGGCCCTGGACTGAGGAAGCCCCTGAAGGAGGGAAGCACACCAGCTGCTGTGGCTGCATTGCCTGTCCACGAGGGGTTTCCAGCCAGACAGGTGAGCACCTGCAGCGACGCCCTCCCGTCCACACCTGTCATCCTTCCTGCCCTGACTCCAGGTGAGGGCAGAGGGCCTCGGAATTACAGGTAAGTCATTTTTTTTGTTTGTTTGTTTTGTTTTTGAGATGGAGTTTCGCTCCTGTCACCCAGGTGGGAATGCAATGGCATGACCTCAGCTCACCGCAACCTCCACCTCTCAGATTCAAGTGATTCTCCTGCCTCAGCCTCCTGAGTAGCTGGGATCACAGGAATGTACCACCAGGCCCGGCTGTTTTTTTTTTTTTTTTTTTAGTAGAGACAGGGTTTCTCCAACTTAGTCAGGCTGGTCTCAACCTCCTGATCTCAGGTGCTCCACCCACCTTGGCATCCCAAAGTGCTGGGATTACAGGCGTGAGCCACCACACCTGGCCTCAGGTAAGTCTTCTTTACTCAGTCATTTATTCACTCACTCGGCTAATTCATTCATAAATTCCATTGCTGTAACTTAGTAATCCCAAATAACCTAAACTTCCACCTGCCATGCAATGCCCTCACCACACACCTTGCCTGGTCAGCTAATTTTTCCCAGGGATTTCCCATCCCTGTAATGCCGTTAAAATGTCTAAACTAGGCCGACAGCTTATAAAACAGCAAGTCAGAGTAAAAACAAAACTGGGCTTAGATCCAGCAAATCACAACTGTCACAGAAGAGGCTCGGCCAGGTGCGGTGGCTCACTCCTGTAATGCCAGCATTTCGGGAGGCTGAGGCGGGTGAATCACTTGAGGTCAGGAGTTTGAAACCAGTCTGGCCAACATGGTGAAACCTCGTCTCTATAAAAATACAAAAAACTTAGCTGGGCGTGGTGGCAGGTGCCTGTAATCTCAGCTATTCAGGAGGCTGAGACAGGAGAATTGCTTGAACCCAGAAGGCAGAGGTTGCAGTGAGTCGAGGTTGTACCACTGCACTCCAGCCTGGGCAAAAAGAGTGGAACCCTATCTCAAAACAAAGAACAACAACAAAACATGCTAACAAAATGCTGAGGCAGGGTACGACTTGAGAAGTCATTGCTGAGACAGGGGATGGGACCTGGGAGCTGTCCAGCTCCTGACAATATGAGGCAGGAGACAGAAGAACTAAGATTCTCTACACAGCAGGACAATGTGCCTTTCGCTGTTGAGGAGACTGGGGGTGTACAATCACCTTGGGGCTAAGAAGCCTCTGGGAAAAGGCCCACACCACACTGTTGAGCCAGCCCAGGGGCTCACATGCCCCCAAATCCCCACCCCCAATGCTGTCCAGAAGGCCACAGGCCACACCACTGCCGGGTGAGGTTGACGAAATGCTGCCTTCTCACATCGGGTTCTAGCAACTAACGTAAAAAATGTAAATAATGTTATCGAAATTAGGATTTTATGTTGTTTCAATTCAAACAGAAATTCAGTTGAGGAATTAATAGCCAGGTGTGGTGGCTCACACCTGTAATCCCAGCACTTTGGAGGCTGAGGTAGGTGGATCACCTGAGGTCAGGACTTCGAGACCAGCCTGGCCAACATGGTAAAACGGCATCTCTACTAAAAATACGAAAATTAGCTGGGTTTGGTGGCATGTGCCTGCAATCCCAGTTACTTGTGAGGCTGAGGCAGGAGAATCACTTGAATGCAGGAGGCAGATATTACAGTGAGCCAAGATCACACCACTGCACTCTAGGCTGGGCAACAGGTCAAGACTCCTCAAAAAAAGAAAAAAAAGAAAAAAAAAATATTGTCTCACTAAAAGTAAAAGTAATGACATTTTGAACTTAGGAAAATTTTCTCAGGCAGAGTTTTTCTTGTTTGACTTAAAATTTTTCGAAATGCAGTCCAGAGAGTGGCATAATGATGCCCACATGCACAAAACAGATTTGACAGTTACTAATATGTTGCCATGTCTGCTTCATGTTTTTACATTATGAAATATTGTAATTTGCAGATCTCACAAAATTTCACTCCTAACTACTTCAGTATGCACCTATAAAAAAAAAGTAAGCATGAAAGTGGGGTGTGGTGGTGGGCACTGTTGTCCTAGCTACTCAGGACGCTGAGGCAGAACCATTGCTTGAGCCTGGGAGGTCGAGGCTGCAGTGAGCAGTGATTGCACCACTGCACTCCAGCCTGGGCAACAGAATGAGACTCTGTGTCTAAAAAACAAAGTATGCATGGTTTCCTACAAAATCAGAATAACATATGGTAGCTGACACATTCAAAAAAATCCTGCATATTATCAAATACTCAGGAGGAGTTTTGTTTATTTATTTATTTATTTTTTTTTTTTTGAGACCTAGTGTCGCTCTGTCACCAGGCTGGAGAGCAGTGGTGCAATCTCAGCTTGTTGCAACTTCTGCCTCCTGGTTTTGAGCGATTCTCCTGCCTCAGGCTCCCAAATAGCTGGGATTACAGGTGTCCACCACCACGCCCGATTAAGTTTTGCATTTTTAATAGAGACGGGGTTTCATCATGTTGGCCAGGATGGTCTCGATCCCCTGACCTTGGGATCTACCCGCCACGGCCTCCCAATGTGCTGGGATTACAGGCGTGAGCCACTGTGCCCGGCCAGGAGGAAGTCTTCAAAAACCAGTTAACCTCAGAAGGTGGGAGAAATGCCAGGCCACGAGGACACAGCCATGGGAAATGATATTTACATGGCTAAGAATCTGAGTTTCCTGTGAGAAACAACAGAAAAAAGAAATCCTCCTTGTACAACGAGAGAAAATACTATTTTTTTCCATGAAACCATAAGGGTGTGGGCAGTGTAAACCCAAAATTATGCATGAGAGCTTCCCCAGAGCTCCGTGTGGGTGGAGAAATGTGTCCTAACTGCTGCCCTGCCTGCTGTCTTGGTACTGGGAACCTGTGAGAATTTCCAAGCCCGACACCCTGCGTCCTGGCTTTTCCCAACAGATGCAGAGCAGTGCGTGCGTAGCCCAGCTGGGCAGCACCCAAACGGCGAGACAGGCCACCGGCTCCCAGAGCTGGGCCCTCCTGGCTCCTGAGGACCCTCTGGGGATGGCTTTGGTCAATACAGCCCTTTCTTTCTCTGCTCTCACAGCCATGGGCTGCACATGCTCTTTCTGAAGCACTGAGACTCCCCCAGCCGAGGCCAGCAGCCGGACTCAGCCATGTCCTCTCCCTCACTCCAGACTTCCTCAGCTCCTCAGTCTTCACAGCTCGTCCCAACACAGCCACCTGCCCCCAGCAGACCACACCGGAGTCCTGTGCACTGCAGCTGCTCCCACAGACTCACGCTCAACCCTCACTGTGGTCCTGGCTTTCAAGGCCATTGCACCTGGGAGGAGATGGAGGTGTCGGCTGCTGTCAGGGCACCTGGGTCATTCCTATTTGCTCCTGATGCAGTGACTCTGCCTGTGGGATCTGGCTGGGAACCTCTCTCCCACCCACTGCCAGAGATACATTCTGAGCCCAGGCACAGCCTCCTTAGTCGTCGGGCATCACTGCCTGCTGGGACACCCTAGGATACCTGGGAGGCTTCAGTGTGACTTTCTCAGTCAGGATCCCGTCTGACACCTGCATGGAGGCAAGTCCGTGACGTTCAGCTGGAGTTCGGCAGGGTCTGGCTCACCTTCCTTCCTGTCCATCAAGAGCAGGGTCTCCATCTCGGCCTCTTGGGTGGGGCTCCCAGCTGGAGTTCTGCAGGGATTTGGTCACCTTCCTTCCCATCCACCAAGGGCAGGTCTCCATCGTGGCCCCTTGGGTGGGGCTCCCAGGCTGCACTTTTGCCCCCAGGGCTACACCACCCTTCCCGTAGGCTAAGGCCTAATAGGAACACCCTGCAGGGTGAGGGAATAAGAGAGGTTCCAGGTGCAAACAAAACATCAGCAGATACTTAAGTTACCGCCTGTACAAAAAACAAATGTACCCTTTACCCTCCTGTTGAAAAAGTAAGCTCTGTGTGTTCTGCCATCCCTTCAGGGAAACAAGCCCCTGAATTACCCATTTCAGAAGCATGGCCCCCAGGTGCACGGGGTGAACATGAGCAGAGGGGAGGGGTGTGCTAACCCATCTGACCCTGGGCCCCAGCACCGTGCAGGGAGATACGCGAGGGGCGGGCTTGGCTGCTTCCCTCCACTGTCACAGCGAGTGAGTCGGCCTGACGCCTGAGCTCCGCGGAGCCCTCTGATGGGAGGAACCCTGTCCCAGAACGGCCATAAGGAACAGAGGCACTGAGACCACTCGTCAAACCAATGCCCCATTTTACTAAAAACCACATGTACATTACATTTTACAAAACAGCAACTATCTGAACTTTCAGTTCCTTCCTTAACCCCATAAAAGAATGGGGATATTGGGGAGCTATGGGAACAGGTCCCCCTCCAAATGCTCAGGGCTACCTAGGCCTCCCCAGACCCCTGGTCCAGTGCAGGGCAGGGGGCAGCAGAGCCTGCTCACTGCTCCCGTCAGCCCAGGGTTCCTGGAGTCCATCCGGAGCCCTCAGTGCCTACCCAGGGCCAGAGGGAACACCTGCGGGGGCAGCCTCAGCTGGACTCACAGCCACCCCCTGCCTGGGTGGCATCCAGCCTCAGGAGGAGGAGTGCGGGTACCCATAGTGGCTGTGGTCAGTCTCGCCCAGGGTCACTGTCAGTGACAGGCTGGGCTTCCATTCCAGCTCCTCCTCCTTCAGGCAGTGATGTGGGGTTCGGGCTTTGAAGAAGTCTGAGATGTAGCCGACCTGACAGAGTGCAGGAAGGTGAGACTGGGCAGGGGCTGGGCAGGCACCAGGGACATGGGCATGGGCAGGAGGGGGAGGAGCAGGGTCCCAGGTGGGCAGTGAGAGAAAGAGTGCCTGAGGAGGGAAGAGATCCCTCTTAGTGGAGAGCACTGGGGTGCTGACAGGCCCAGGGAAGGGCTGCAGTGTGCAGGCAGGAGACCCAGGGAAGGAACTAGGGGAAGAAGGTGTCCAGGGAAGGACTGGGTTTAGGCAGAGGGGTCCCAGGGGAGAAATGGGGGGAAGGGAGGGGCCCCCAGAAAGGATTGTGGTTGAGGGAAGGGGTCCCAGGGAGGAATGGGCAAAGGAGGGGTCCTAGAAAGAACTGGGGTTGGGGGAAGAGGTTCCAGGGGAGAAATGGGGAGAAGGGAGGAGTCCAGGGAAAAACTGGAGTTGAGGGAAGGGGTCCCAGGGGAGGATGTGTGGGGGGAGGGAAGGGTCCTGGGATGGACTGAGGTTGGAGGTCCCAGACGAGAAATGGCGGGAAAAGGGGGTCCCAGGGAAGCACTGGGGTTGGGGAAGGGGTCCCAGGGGAGGAATCAGGGGGAAGGAGGGGTCCAGGGAGGGACTGGAGTTTGGGGTAGGGGTCCCAGGGGAGAAATTGGGGAAAGGAAGGGTCCCAGGGAAGGACCAGGGTTGGAGGAAGGGGTCCCAGGGGAGGAATCAGGGGAAGGGGGGTCCCAGGGAAGGAGGGGTCCAGGGAAGGACTGGAGTTTGGGGTAGGGGTCCCAGGGGAGAAATTGGGGGAAGGAAGGGTCCCAGGGAAGGACCAGGGTTGGAGGAAGGGGTCCCAGGGGAGGACTCCGTGGGGCAAGAGTGTGCAGGGAAGGACCAGGGTTGGGCAGGGAGTGGTCTCTGGACAGCACAGGGGGTGAGTCAGGGTCAGAAGCTCACAGTGAGGCCAGCCATCAGCACTCCCTGCAGGAGGCCAGCAAGGACGTCGCTCCAGTGGTGTTTGTGATCAGACACGTGGGTGTAGCCCACATAGAGGGCAAAGGCCACCAGGAAGAACTGGACAGTGGGCCGCAGCAGCCGCGCCCACTTCCAGCAGAGCCGTGCCTGCACGTAGAGCTGGGACGGGAGAGGGTGTCTCAGCCTGTGCCCTGCCAGGCCCTCCCACACCCACAGCACAGATGGCAGCTCCGAGGCGGGAGGCACAGAACCGGCCAGCCCAGGGCATCCTGTCTTTACAAACAAGTCAGTGAGTGCCCCCATCACCACCACGACCCACCCATTTTACAGCTGGAAAAACTGAGGTCCAGGGAAGGGAGTGACTTGACAGGCGAGCCCCGGAGAAATGGACTCATCGCCAGGAACACCATGCAGTACATTCCAAAGGAGGCGTATCCTGAGTAGAAAGACAACCTGAGGGAGGAGAGGCGGCAGGTCAGAGGGCAGGTGGCTCACTCAGCATCCTCCAGCCTCCCCTCACCCCCGCCCCTCCAGCAGAAGGGAGGGTTCAACACGGGAGCTGCCAACATTACAGGCCACCAAATCCCAGGAGCACAGGCTGCTCCAGTTATCTGATGATGGAATCAGAGTCTCCAGTTGGGGCTGTGGCATGAGACGCCTCACTGGTGAAGACTCTGAGGCCTGAACCCAACACCCAGGGCAGATGGTAGTGTCCAGCAAGCAGGTAACACCAGTTTCATTTTCACCGTGTTTCTTTTCAGCATTTTCTCCCATCTGTGGAACTGAGGGGAGATTTCTTTTTATATAAATTAGATATCCTGTGAAGGACATGAATGAAACACAGAAAACAGGAAGCAACAAAAACCTGGCAAAAAGACGGGGTTTCACCATGTTGATCAGGCTGGTCTTGAACTCCCGACCTCAGGTGATCCACCCACCTTGGCCTCCAAAGTGCTTGGATTACACGTGTGAGCCACCACACCCGGCCACAATCAACTTTTTTGGACCTAATCAAAAGCTTGCAGGAACCAGAGGAACCCTTGATTAATATAATCCAGTTGAGGCTGGGCACAGTGGCTAAGGCCTGTAATCCCTGCACTTTGGGGGGCCGAGGCAGGCAGATCACAAGGTCAGGAGATTGAGACCAGCCTGACCAACAGGGTGAAACTCCATCTCTACTAAAAATACAAAAATTAGTCAGGCGTGGTGCCACATGCCTATAATCCCAGCTACTCGGGAGGCTGAGGCAGGAGAATCACTTGAAAACCTGGGAGGTGGAGGTTGCAGTGAGCCAAGATCATGCCACTGCCTGGGCAACAGAGCGAGACTCCATCTCAAAAAAAACAAAGATAATCCAGTTGGATCTCAGAACAAATAGCTTTGTGGCATTTTAACTCATCCTGGTCCCCCTCCCACTGCCTGGACTGTGGTGGCCTGAGGGTAACAGACCACAAGCCCAGCACAGGCTCCAAGAAGGGGCCTTATTTGCAACTGCGAACTGGGGTATGGCTCGAGGGCTGGCCTTGATCTCGCCCAACTAGACATTCTCCCGGTGCTGAGGTGCTACCTGGAGGACATTTGTAGAAAACGTTTATAAGAAATTTGTTAGTCTCTGCAGCCTGGGGCCACAAGAGCAGATGAGGCAAAAAACAGACGAGCCAAACAGCGTAGGAGGAAAGGCCAGGGAATAAAACGCTCTGGGGAATGAAGGCTTGGAACCTACAAGACCAGAGCAGTGCAGGAGCTTGGAAGAGGCCTGCGAGGGCCCTGCGCTCTCACATCGGGCTGGCCTTCCAGCTCTGCACAAGCAGGAAGTGAAAGTGAAGGCAGAGAAAACCTGTTTCACCGTGGAAGGGCTGACCCCACAACCACGCAGATCCCTTCTACAGACTCGGGAGGGTGTTGTGTTGTTTTTTTTTTTTTTTTTTTTTTGGTTCCAGATGTTTAAAGAAATCTCTGTCCTATCACTAGCTGGCCACCAGGCTAAAAGAACAGGAGGAAATGGCCACTCATGACAAAAGATAGAGACTTGACAATCAGAAGTCATTAAATAACCACTGCAGCAAACAGCAAGAACACACCCCGGGTAGGAGGGAGACTCCTATTTCCAGAGTGGCCACATTATAATATTCTCAACACACAGTTTAAAACAAAACAAAACAAAACAGGTTGGGCGCTGTGGCTCACACCTGTGATCCCAGCAGTTTGGGAGGCTGAGGCAGGCAGCTCGCCTGACGTCAGGAGTTTGAGACCAGCCTGGCCAACGTTGTGAAACTCTGTCTCTACTAAAAGTACAAAACTTGTCCAGGTGTGGTGGCACATGCCTGTGATCCCAGCACTCAGAAGACTAAAGCAGGAGAAGCATTTAAACCCAGGAGGGGGAGGTCGCAGACAGCAAAGATCACACCACTGCACTCCAGCCTGGGTGACAGAGTGAGATTCTGTCTCAAAAAATAAAATAAATAAAAATAATAAAAATGAAAATACAAAAATTAGCCAGGTGTGGAGGTACACACCCATAATTCCAGCTGCTGGGGAGGCTGAGACAGGAGAATTGCTTGAACTCAGGAAGTGGAGGTTGCAGTGAGCTGAGATCGAACCACTGTACTCCAGCCTGGGCAACAGAGCCAGACTCTGTCTCAAAAAAAAAAGAGAGAAAAAGATTATTTAGCCTGAAAGGGCTGGGGGCTCACACCTGTAATCCCAGCACTTTGGGAGGCCAAGGCAGAAGGACTGCTTGAGCCCAGGCATTCCAGATCAGCCTAGGCAACATGGTGAGACCCTATTTCTAAAAAAAAAAAAAAAAAAAATGTAAAAACCAGTCAGATGTGGTGATGTATGCCTGTAGTCCCAGCTACTTGGAAGGCAGAGATGGTTTGAGCCCAGGAGTTCAAGTCCTGGGCAAAATTGCAAGACCCTCATCACTGAAAGAAAAATTAAAGGAAAAGAAAAAAAAAAGACAGTGACAAGGAACTGAAAAAGGAAGACATAACCTGGGCAACCCTAAACAAAATAACAGAGGTCCTTTCTTATCAGTAATTACACTGACTATAAATAGATTAAACACTCCAACTGAAAGTCAGAGATTCGTTAAATGCCTTAATTCAATAAAAAGATTAACATAGGCTGGAAAAAAATTAAAAAAAAATAAAAAGTCAGAGATCTGGCTGGGCGTGGTGGCATACACCTGTAATCCCAGCAGTTTGGGAGGCCACAGAGGGTGGATCGCCTGAGCTGAGGAGTTCAAGACCAGCCTGGGCAACATGGCAAAACCCTGTTTCTACAAAAAACATAAATAAACCGTAGCTGAATGTGGCAGCCAGTCCTAGCCACTCAGGAGGCTGAGGCTGGAAGATGGCTTGGCCTGGGAGTCCAAGGCTGCATTGAGCTGAGATCACTGTCCTCCAGCCTGGGTAACAAAGTGAGTCTCTTTCTCGAAAAAATCAGAGACTGGACAATACATAAAAAACATGGCCCAATTTTATGCAAGGTATAAGAGACTTACTTTAGAGTCAGAAGCATAAATAGGTTGAAAGTACAATATTGGAAAAAAAAATATTCCATGCAAACAGTAACGAAAATAGAGCCAAAATAGCTATATTAATATGAGACAAAATGGACATCGAGACAAAAATTGTTGAGACAAAACTCATATGTATCATTCTATGATGATGAAAGGGTCAATCTATCAAAAAGATATAGCAATTATAAAGGTAAATGTAGTAAACCACAGAACTCCAAAATACATAAAGCAAAAATGGACAGAACGTTACAACATGAACTTCCAAAACACAAGAATGCACTAACTGTGTTCAATCAGTAAAAACATACAAAAACAATTTTGTTTTTATTCTATTTACTTACCCTCTTTTTTCTTTTTTTTCTTATTTTTTTTTCCTATAGTTTTTTACTTTATTGAAAATCAATCTATCAACAGCATCGTAAGAGGGGGATGAAAGATTAAAACAGAAAAAAATGAAAAATCAGTCTATCTTATCTTTGTCTGATGGGAAGGAAGCAGCAGCAGGCTTTATTTATTCAATTAACTCTTTTTTGAGACAGAGTTTTTTGGGTTTTTTTTTTGAGATGGAGTTTCACTCTTGTTACCCAGGCTGGGGTGCAATGGCGTGATCTTGGCTCACCGCAACCTCCGCCTCCTGGGTTCAGGCAATTCTCCTGCCTCAACCTCCTGAGTAGCTGGGATTACAGGCACGTGCCACCATGCCCAGATAATGTTTTGTATTTTTAGTAGAGACGGGGTTTCACCATGTTGACCAGGATGGTCTCGATCTCTTGACCTCGTGATCCACCCGCCTCGGCCTCCCAAAGTGCTGGGATTATAGGCTTGAGCCACAGCACCCGGCCCCAATTTTTTTTTTTTTTTTTTTTTTTTTTTTT